TTTGGGCCCCCAGATCAATCCCGTTGACGCGTGATTGCTGATGGCAAAAAAGATCGATAGAAGTAGCTGAGATATACGCAAAGCGAAGGACCCGGATGGTGTAGTGGTGAAGTGCGCTGCTCCCCGGTAAGGACAACAGCGCGTGTTCGTTCCCCACTGCATACACCTGTGGTCCGGAGTTTTGCAAATATCTCAGCATTTCATACGAGTTATATTTCGCAACATAACCTGCCATTAAGAAGAAAAAGGCAGTAAATAAAAGAGTTAAGTAAGTAATATTTATGATTACCCAACATAGAGTGACGTGCTTTCACTCTGTCTAAATATTGATTTATTTCTATTTTAAATCAAAATACTAGACCAGGAAGAACGCCATTTTCTACATTTCAGGCCAATGAGTCCCACGTCTTAGCAATACGTATGTGAATTGACATGGTAATAATTTTCCTTGGGTTACTTGTGTTCACAATCTGGTACGCTACACATGCGACAAAGCTTACAAGATAACGAGCTAATTTGGACGTCATATATTATTGCAGGTTTAGCTTCCTTTTCTTCATAAGAATGAATAAAAAAAAACTTGAAACTGGCTGACTAAAATAAACTAAGTAATACTGACAGCTATAATGCTGAGGTATTTGCAAAACTCCGGACCGAAGGTGTCAGCGGTGGAAAACGAACGCGCTATTGTCGTTTCCGAGGTGTAATGCGTTCACCACCACACCATGCGAGCCCTTCGTTTCGCCTGTCTTTCACCTAGTTCTATCGATCTTTTGCCATCGGCAATCACCCGTCAATGGGGTTGATCTGGGGAGCCCAAATTGGCATTGAACCTAGTTAAGCGGAGGCTATAGTTATAATCACAATCTTAACCTTTTTATCTACTGTCTATTCTTTTTTTAACGGCAGGGTATGCTGCGAAATATAACTTCTACAATGCTTTCCACCGTTAACGTTCCCCACCGCAGACACCTGCGTTGCGGAGTTTTGCAGATATCTCAGCATTATAGAAGTTATATTTCGCAACTTGCCTTGCTCTTAAAAAGAATAGGCAGTAAATAAAAAGGACGCAACCATCTGATTTCAAGGATAATTCTTCACACCTCTTGAGGTGAATCGAGCCCAATAGCTTCAACTCAATACCAAAAGCGTATTCAATTAATATGAGTAAATTTACATCTATTAACATAACGCACTAAAATAACTAACGTCTAAAACTATAGTTCACGCGAATCATAAGGGCTAGCTTAATCCTCTACTTGAGTGATTAATAGTCTCGATGACCAAGTACATCCAGAAGGCTCTAATAACAGTACTTTACACGTTAGGAACAACAGTTTCCGAATGGATCACTTGAGAAACGAAGATACTAAGTGTTCATACTGTCATAAAACAAGCAACCATATTAAAATCCGTCCCATTCCTCACATCATGAAAAACAACGCCTGTGATGACTGATCGTTTACTTTTTTAACGCTGTAGCAGTGTATTTGATATGAAGTGAAGTCGATGACTATCGCCGTCCATACCAAGATCTTACATTCCGGCGAGGGTAACGATATAACGGTAGTAACAGGGTTTAAAACCACCAGTAAAGTGCGGAAATTTTTTGAATTTATGTTTGATAATAGTGGACAACAGTTATCATTCAGGAGAAAATTATTCCATTTCTGACCCTCTTGTGGAATGACGTCGAAAATTTCTGAACATGATGAGCAAGACAACAGTTGTTGAAGTAGCATGGGCATGAAGAAGTTCATAGTAAAACAATCCTTCCAAATCGAACCAACATTTAAGAAGAATCTCCTTCTTGTAGAATTCTGGTTTAGGTTGATGGCATTTCTTCTCGTTGAAACATTTTGTGAGGTTGACATAGATCTATTTATTTACTCAACCTAAGATATTCTAGCTAAACTACTGTCTATTTCATTGCAATTTTACTAAATGACATTTATGCAACTTGCCAGTTTTCTTGTGGCGGTCACGTGGGAGTACGTCTTATTTTTCATCGTGTGCGATATGCACTGAGCTCAGTGGCACGCTGTCTAATTACTCCCAAGATGACTGCCCTCTCTCTTTTGTGCTCCTGACTCTACAGCTTGGTTTTCCCACATAAACCTTCACTAATTTGTACAAGTTTTATATTCTATGCATCCTCTTCTTTTTTCTATGTAACCTTCCTTCTTTGGAAACATTTCTAACTGTTAAGAGGGATCAAAACGATTCACTACCGGTCAAACTGGTGGTGTTGGTAACAGTCCTCCGCTTCACGAAATAGGCTCAGTGTATCTCATATGTTCTATACATCTTCCAATTCCACCGATTTTTGACCGTCAAGGCGCTGAGGACGTTGATAATTTGAAACATTGCCAAAGAGGAGCTTTATGGAAGTAAAATAATGAGCACATACTCCGTATGCTCGCTCCGACATGCAATATCGTAGTTTTACTACCTTCTACACAGAAAGCACGTTTTTCATTTGAAGAACCTACTCTTGTGATAAACAGCCTTTTTGTTATTATTAGGTGCAGAGAACAGCTTTAATTCGATTCGATATAAAAAGTGCAAGAAAACAACTTTATACGGCAGAATATGCAGCTGTGGCAAAAATTGAGAGATCATGGAGCTCATCCTGCTTCTCAAATTAATTAGACTAAGAATGAGTTGGTATTGCACTGATGGCCAAACAAACCTAAGTATGAAAAGCCGGAGAGAATCTTAAATAACCAAATGGTATAAAAGAGTAGGAAAGTTCTTTGGCTCAAAAAAGTCCCTGAATGAGAAAATACAACAAAAGTTATGCGCATATTTTTTAGAAGAATTATAAATTAGCAAGCGTTAAATTTCCAAACATCCAGAAAGCTAACGGTAACAAAAAAAACGTAGAATGAAAGTCAACATTTTTGTACGCTTCACACATATTGGATGATTTCCTATAATATATGTCCCCTTATTTTCCACTTACTGTAGATGAATCATATCTCTACAGGAACCGACTAGAACCGAAAAGAACCTTATAAATTTAAACCCGAAATATAATCCATGGTTAAACCCCGGGAACTGGTAAGTACGGTGTTTCAAGACGTAAAGGATGAATAATAAGATGTTTCGTTGCAAAAATAGAGAATCAGTGAGACCAAAGGTATACTTCTTTCTGTCTACTCTACATGTTCGCTCACTGCAATTCCAATTTTTGATCCAGCTTTTTTCAATTTGATGAAGTCAACTTATAACTGACAACCATTTCCGATTAAGCGATATGAAAGAAAATCGACCGCACCAAACCATAGACTTCTCAAAATTGCTTTCTTAACATAAGTTATTTTTCTAGGAGTTGTACTTCTTCTCATTATTCTTTTTAATAACACACATAAATGTTTCGCTCAAAAAATAGAAAATGTCAGTACAATTTCAGTTCAGATATTGTCGTTATAAAAATATTATTCATACCATTACTAGAGAAGAACAACAGCAACAAAAACGATTGTTCACAAAATTTCCCTCCATGACTTTCTTTGAGTAGGCATTGAAATTTTCGTAATGTACCTAATTCATAAACGAAAAAACGCTTCCACATGTATCTAACCATAATATTATTGTGAGACCAATTAACTCTAAATAAAACAGGTAAGTATAACCAAATCAAAAATTTGTAAATCTCACTTCATCGGTGGAAGTGAACAATAATGTCATGATCGACCAGTCGTGAGAACAACTGCTGCTTTCAGTAGATAATTGTGCGAAATTCAATCAAGCAAAGACGAAATTACTCACAATCGGTCATATAGTCGAACTTCAGCAGTGATGGGATGCGAAACCCAGTGAACGAAAGCCTTTGGTTTATTCTGTTCGGTAAGTGTAGATGCGCGAACGATTAGCTCGATGACGTTTCCTGAGACATCCTGAAATCAGAAAATTGTTCCCAGAAAAACGATACATCTACTAATGGGTTATTCATACTCTAAATCAGTGACTTAAAGACATCTGAAGATTGTGGAACGTACCAGAACCTCTCTCACCAAACTGAGAACAACACCAACATACTTCAGGCCAACGGGTTGATCTTTAGTCATACGACGGAAAGTTTTTTGTTCTTCGTTCTAAAAATGGTGCTGGAAATTGCATGAAACTGCAGTCTCAATTAGTAGCACACTAAGGTAAGTTGCTGTTTATTTATGATCTATGACTCCGCCTTCAGCGTTAGCAAAATGCTTCCACTGTTTATCAGTGGTTGTCGGGTCGTCGGATTGGTTGCAACCTTCTCTAGGCGATAAAGCCTCGAGTGTTTTCCCGCAATTATAAAGCCATTTACAGACTGATAGCCTGGTAAAATCACTAATTTTAACGCGAATTCCATGGACCCCATGTCACGCAATGAGATAGATAGCGTGGAACTAGATCTCTTAATACTGCAAACTTTAGTTATTATCAAGGACGTTATACATTCTGACCAATGTTCTCGAACTCAGACAAAGTAAAAAAAATTTGCAACGAAGATTTCAAAACAATCAGAGAAATCGTGTTCGAAATTTCAACGCGTACATATCGTGGGCTAAAAAACATCAGATCAGGACTAATTCGTCGTTAAGCAGATAACAACAAATCATCATATCTCCGACGAGCCTAACGGCGGGATGTCCTATATCATCACGTCAACTGACATCGGCATTTCTGTCGAATTTAAATTTATGCTGATATAATGGAAACGAATTTTTACAATAGTTGGTCAACCTGGAACTGCGCTAAAAAAATAAACTAGTTAAGAACTTGATAAACACAGCCATCTACTACAATAATTAGGTGTTATATAATTCTTTGACAATCTCATAATGGCGTATACAGGTGTATGTATAATATAATAAATGCATGTATATCTATGGTGTATGTATAGTGTATCACGTATACTTTCCTATCAACCTGTTCAGAATGAAAAGATTGTATATTCTATAGTAATTACGCTCTTGAATAAAACTATTTAAATGAATAAAGGATAAAACACTCGACGTTGAACAATCACTGAGAGATGCGCCATGTCTCCCAATTCATCAAATACCGTTGGAGTTCAATGAATGCATATCTGGTCTACACAATGACTGGTGGTGGTCAACCAGTGTATCGAGTCTGTGTTTTGCATCCAGAGAAGTCTGGTACCTATTTACCCCCTCCGAAAGGATGAAGGGTTTAGTGAGTCTGGGACTCCGATCGAACTAACGAACATGTGTATGAAAAGGCACCTCTAATCACTGCTTTTTAACTCATTATCTACTGCCTACTCTTTTTAACGGGCAGAGTATACAATGTGAAATATAACTTCAATGATGCTGAGATATTTGCAAAACTCCGGACCGCAGACGTATGCGGTGGGGAACGAACGCGCTATTATCCTTTCCGGGGAGTAGCGCGTTCACCACCACACCACGCGGGTCAATCACTGCGTTAAACGCATCTCAAATAAGGCTACTGCTAACTATTATGAATTTCACTAACTAATGTAATTACACTAAAAAGCTCATGTCACAATGTTACACTCTTTTTGTACATCTTTGATGCACAATGAGGTGCATGCTTACGCCAGTGAGTATGCAACTGTTTCCTTCAAATAAATCCCGCATAGGTGGCCTAACCGCAAATTAGTTGACACGTTTTTAAAATAGCTTGGAATTTTTTTTTCTTTTACAAAACACCATTCTGCAGCAAAACATGAAGTGTTGCGCTATGATTCGGGGTAATGACATTAATATGTCTTCTATGCGACCATATTGGAATCGTCCACTCAAGACGTTTAGGCGTGATGAAACTAGGAATCCATTTCACTTATGCGATGCAGATGAGATGATTCCAGAACACATTTGTTTTCTTTTTCAATAACCATAGCGCAATCGTTTCAAAACATATTGCTCACAAAAAAGTGGACGAAATGAATGATATGCAAGCGGCTACTTATGAACAAAATCCTACTGGATTATATGTATTGGGATAACAGTCAATATTGTCGCTGCAAACCAGAGTCCAATATGTCGTAGTATTTCATTTAACACCCGTGAAGTCTTGTAGATTAGTACAATCTAAACATTACTAGATTGGTTAAAGGTGTGAAGTTCCACTGGCCAAGTTGAATATAAAGGAAATACACCCACATTTCAAAAAAAAAAAAGAAAAGAAACAACGAAATCTGCAGTGCTCTGCGTCACAGAAAGAGTTCGTATTAAGCACTACAATTAAACTAGTCTCTCTGATTAACACACGAGGTTCTGAGCGGTTAAATCCTTGTAGGATCATGAAAAGTAGTGATGAAGAAAATCAACATTTACTCAGCAGTTTACCAAACTCGTCATTTGAACTGTTTAAAACTCTATTCACTTATGGGAAAAACAAATGCAAGACTACACTGTAAGTTAATGGAATGGATTGCGCAATTTGAACCTATCTACTCCTTGTCGCCCAGAACCGGAAAGTAAGCACAAACGCCATGCGTACTCTTTATGCAGTTTACTTGACGAAATAATACGAAAAATTCCCATTCAGTCACGATGAACAAAAACTCAACAATGTTTGGTTGAGGGAACTCACACCATCTGAGTACGCGCAATCTGAATAGCGCCGAAATAGCTACTCATCAAGGAACACCCAGTAAGTCACTCATGTGCACAGTGGCGAGTGAGTAAATTGCTGGCATTGTGTTTCGCCGACTTCAAGCGGCTTAACAGAAAGGCACCATCGTCGACGTGTCACGAAAAAAAGGAAAAATAAGAACGTCTTAGAATTGCGGGTGATGCTCGACATCACTATGTAACGTGTGTAGCACAGCGACGAATTACACCTTGAAGCGATCTGGCGAGCAAAGAAAACTATTCTGGTGGAATGACAACGCCAAGTGGAATTCGTTTAGCCTGCGCTTATTGTTATTCCACTCCGGACACACCTTTGGATCGATTTGGTGCTCACGATATGAATGCCTGCTCTTTATAGTTCACTAAAGAAGATGCACGACGTGACGATGCCCTACGGCTAAATTTTTCATTTTGGAAACAATTCAAAGACCCATCTTCAAAACCCCAATATTTCTGTGTAAACACAAATTGGGCCGAATCCAAGAAATATGCACCCATAATTTTCTAGAATACTTGAAAATTCGATGATCTGCATAGAATTACGAAACACACTGCATTCTATCGGTCGAAGAACTTATACAAATTCTCCAACTTATTGCTACCGTCAAAATTGTGCTAAAAGTGCAAAAAAGAGCTAAAATTTACAAAATTCTGAGCGCGAATGCCGTAACCGCGAACAACAACAACAATGCATCGCACGCTGGACACAATCCTGCTTTTCTCAATCGCTTCGCAGCTCGGGACACGTGTTAATAGGAGAGGAAGAAACCAAATGAGTTCGCGGAATTCAGATATTCGCGAATTCATTGTCGTAGAAAAACATCATATTTGCTTTCTTCACAAACATCTGTCGATTCCTGTGGTCGTTATTTGAACTAATTATACTCACTGAGCCCAAATACGAAGCTACTTTGTTTTCAATGAAAACGAAATCATAGTCTAGTACTTTCTTTGTTTTGGTTATGGAGGTGTTAGATCTGGTAGATAGTAGTCAATTTGACCTTTCCAGGCTCTGGAGAAGGCGAAATCTGCCCAAACGTCAGGAAGTAGCAAGTTGTTCAAGTAATACCTATATTTAAAGCTGACTAAACAACGTTGCTGAGATATTTGCAAAACTCTGGACCGCAGGTGTCTATGGTGGGGAACGAACGCTCTATTGTCCTTTCCGAGAGTAACGCGTTCACCACCACACCATGCGGGTCCTTCGTTTCCGTTTAAAAGGCAGAAAACAAAACGTTAAACATTGTGATTTCAACTACAGCCATAGTTTAACTGGGTTCTATGCCGATTTGTGCTCCCCAAATCAACCCCGCTGACGGGTGATTGCTGTGGCAAAAAGATCGATAGAAATAGCTGAGAGACGTGCGAAACAAAGGACCCGCATGGTGTGGTGGTGAACGCGTTACTCCCCGGAAAGGATAATAGCGCGTTCGTTCCCCACCATAGACACCTGCGGTCCAGAGTTTTGCAAATATCTCAGCAACGTTGTGGTTGTATTTCGCTTAGTAACCTGCCATGAAAATTATAGAAGGCAGAAAACAAAACGTTAAACATGCTGACTAAAACATTTTCGAACATGTGTACATGGATTCCAACATTGTCGTAAACTTGGTGAATCACTGAACAATTAAAGTGTTACTTGGCAACGAAACAAATGGCTTATGCCGATTTAAGTTCTTGTTGTACAATATTTGTACTACCGTGTACTACGACACATGCATTTAGTTGAAAAGAGTGTATTCAAAAGCACTGAATTATGATGTGTCACCGAGGCTTGACCTACACAGTTACCCGTCCCGGAAAGGCAATTAGCATTTCACAGTTTTAGACAGTTTTTCTAATGGGAAAGTCACACATTGCCGTTCATTACTCGTCGTGAAATGACTTTTAATAAGGTTTTATCTTTTTCAGATTAATCCACCTTCTCAACCTTTTCCGCTGAGCTGTCGAAGCATTCCCGCTGGTCCACTGGTGCTCTTCAGGAGAAGTGACGATGTGCTTGATGTCCTCGACATAACAAACGTTTCTCAAAAAGTATGCAACAATGAATATTCCCTCTTAGTTCCATGTGAGTTATTGTTAAGTGCGACACAGTGTACATCACCAATGCGGGATATGATGTCTCTTTTCATAGGTATGCAAAATGGGCAACGCAACAGCTTTGCTACTCCGAGTCCGTGTTTCATTCCTGGGCAGATACGAGGTCATCAATAACATGATTTATTCAGTATTTTCCGCGGTTTCGTCTTCTTCGGATCCTGGAAAGGTTATGTCGGTATTGTAGTTGTTACGTCGACTTGTTGATGTACTTCACTTCGACAGTTAGGGCATACAGCTCCATTTCTCAAATGCTGGTACGGTGTTACAAATCCTTTTTCGCAGTCGACAACGGTTAGATCAAAGGCAAATGGTGTTAACAAAAGGAATTTATGACGCAGTTATGCTTAGTATGTGACCCATACAGTAAAATCAAAACCGGCTTTCTTCATATTGAACCGCATGCACTTCCTGCAATGCGTGAGAGCACACGTTCTTGAAGAAATGCACCGATCAATTCGATCGACTACACTATCAGCTTCTCCAGAAGTAAAACAGAAGCATCCACAATTCTCGTAAAAGCGGAGGAAACGATATGAAAACGAATAAAACGAGAGAGTCCAGCTCACAAGCACTAAACAGAGGAATACAAGATTAGCATAGGGGGAGGTAGGCATGTATCAAGAGTTCCACTCAAGAGTATAAAAGCACGGTATGTTCTGATACGTGCACTAGCATCTCAACGACTTCCAGAAATCTATGAACGACTTAAAAACCGCTAGAACGATGCTTTAGGAAGTACAATCGCTAATATCACTAAGAAAAGACCAATTCCGAACTCCTCAAGAAATGCGGTGACGCACTTTTTAATTCTCCCAAGTTGCATTAATTGTTTCGGAAAAAGTGCATTCAATACTTCTGAAACACTGTTCTTCTAGCGATGGCATTCACGACTTAAAAATTAAACTACTAATAAAAATTGACGTCTCGAGTTCGAGAAAAGTTATAACTAAAACATTTAAAGAACAAAATTACATATCCAGAACTAATTTCTCAACAACCTAATATATAGACATTTACTGGTAGTACGTTTGCACTGCAAAAGAGAGCGTGTAGAGCAGTGGTAAGAGGCGCCCTGCAACATACGTGGAATCGATCTCGGCGTCCATGACCCACCAAGTCTTCCATCTCTCCATCCATGCATTCAGTCACCTCCAACGATGTTTGATGAAGTTGAATGCATGGCGCATCCCTGAGGGATTGATCAACGCCGAGAGCTTCATCCTTTTTTATCTT